GCCTCTGGGTTCACAGAATGTGAGCCCGTTTGTTTCCCTTGATTCCATCTTTAGACATTTGAAAGGGCTGCCCCTTTCCATCCCTCCGCCTAGCCTGGTTAAACACATCTTTCAATCCTTTCTCGTCTGACATGGTTTCCTGCGTGTTCACAGGCTGAGTCTCCCTGAGACTGGCTTGGCAAAGCAACTCTTAACATATGGGACCAAGATCGCAACACAATATTCCAAATGTGGTCTAACAATTCCACCTCCTCCCCCCGGAAAAACTGCCCATTGCCTCCTCCTATGCTCCAAACTAATATTGTTCTTGATCTGAGCTACACTTCAGCTAATGTAGCCTAAGAACACATTAGCTTTGTTTGTTTTCCTTCATTTATGTATCAGAATAAGCATAAGGCTTCAGCCTGTTATCCACACGATCTGTTTATATGTTCTGTCCCGAGTTCTACAGCTGGGCACTCAAAGCTTTCTGGACCATGTGGCCTTGGGTAGGCCATGTCATTTACTAGCTGAGTGAGCTTAAACTGGAAAAATATTGGTTATAATTTTTCATCCAAGTCTCTAATAAAAACAATTTCTGAAAGGCAAAACCAGTGACAGATCTGTGTGATGTGACAGAGTGCCCCAGGCTGACGTGGATCCATCAGGTCAACCAAACTGATTGCCTCCTGTAGTTCAGGGTCGGGAGGTGAGTCCCTGAGGTTAAAGGAAAAATAAACTCTAGTATGTAAGACACACACACACACACACACACACACACACACACACACACACACACACACACACTACATCACTCCATGGCGATCTTGTAAGATGTTTAGAGAGAGAAATGCAAAGGTTAAGTCTATGGCATTTCCAGCAGTCCAGGAATGGAGGGGCCAGAAATAATGGCAGCTCTTCCACACCCTTCCTAACAGGGAGGGCTGCGCAGGGCTCCTCTGTGGAGTCCCCGTGGCTTGGTGGCTTAAATGACACAGAAGGCAGCAGGACACAAACACTGTGCAGGGGGTCTGGGTGGGAAGGCTAAGCTGAGGCCACACTGCAAAAGTCTTGAATTCCACACTAAAGGAATGTTCCCTTCAGCCTGGTGGCTATTAAGAATTAACCTACAGGTTACAGTCAGTTAATCAGTTCAAACATTTGAAAATTAATTTCACGGATAGTGACGAGGGTTTGGATGCGAATAAAGGACTATGGACAGTGTGTACTGGGGGTATTTTCTCAGATGGAGATGGCAAGAGGGTAAGAGAAGTGATGTAAGGAGAACATGATACAAATATCTCAGAGAATGAGTGCTCCAGGCTGGAGCACTTGGTGTCTTAGTTAGGGTTTCTCTGGCCGTGATGAAACACCATGACCAAAAGCAACTTGGGGAGGGAGGGGTTTATTTGGCTCTCACATCCTGAGTCCACAGTTGTTGTAGTTTAAGAAAAGTGGCTCTCAGGAGAAAGATGCCATGTGACAGGGTTCAGGCAGAGGGGTGGAAGGGGGCAGACCAGCCTCCGGGGACAGGAGCAGTAGAAGAGAGGAAAGAGGGGCAGAGAGAGAGGGGGGGGGAATAGACAGACCGAAAGAGGGAAAGAAAAAGGAAGGAAGGAAGGAAGGAAGGCAGGAAGGAAGGAAGGAAGGAAGGGGATGGGAGGGAACATGTTTTTTTTTATTTTTTTGTGGATTAAAATAATTTTTTTTTTCATTGAAAATTAACAAACCCAAAGTAAAAGCCAGTACAGATGCCTAAATACTAACAACATTGCATTGAGGAAAGCCAAGGCAGGAACTCACACAGGGCAGGATCCTGGAGACAAGAGCCAATGCAAGGCCATGGAGGGGAGCTACTTACCGCCTTGCTTCCCATGGCTTTCTCAGTCTGCTTTCTTAAAGAACCTAGGGGATGGCACTACCACATCAATTGCTAAGAAAACGCCCTACAGGCCTGCCTGCTGCCAGATCTTATGGAGCCATTTTCTTAATTGAGGTTCCCTCCTCTCAGATGACTTAAGCTTGTGTTAACAAACTATCCAACACACTTGGCGTATTCAGTTTTTAGAAACACAAAGAAGGCTGGTTAACCTGGAGAAGAATTAGGACCCAAAAGATCAGGAAATGGAAAGGCCGAATCCTGCCTCGAGCATGGTTGAGAGCAATTTATTATTTTTATAATACTGCACTGAAGCCTAATACACTGTATTTACAGGAGCCTAAAATACCAATACCTGACCCAAGTTCTCTTGGTAAACCCAGGCTGGCTTCCACTTCTTATCCAAGTGCTCATAAACAAAACATCACTAATTACTAGTCTTGTCTAGAACTCTGCCAGGCCCTTGCTCTCAGAATCCATGTTTCTTCTCCTTCCTGCCCTCAAACCCTCTCTGAAAATCTGTGACTGCTTCTTCCTTCATGACTAAGGGATATAAAACAGGCAAATAGAGCTGAAGAAATGAAGACGGCTGGGAGTGGAAAGGCAGAAGGAATGAGAAAGACAAAACGGAGCACAGGTAGGTTGCTGCACGGGACCCAATAAGGGTTGACCTCTGTCTCTCTCTCTCTCTCTCTCTCTCTCTCTCTCTCTCTCTCTCTCTCTCTCTCTGTGTGTGTGTGTGTGTGTGTGTGTGTGTGTGTGTGGTGAGGGGTGGAAAGCACAGCTCCACAGCATAGGGGGCTTGGATGTCACACTGCCACTTGACCTAAGGCCTGAAAAGAAACACACAAACTAGGACTATGGCCAAATTTTTCCATAAATTTTATAAATTTTCTTTTTCCTTTTTTTTAAGGCAGGGTCTGAAACTATGTAGCCCAGGCTGGCCTCAAATTTAGGGCAATCCTCCTGCCTCACCCTTACAAGAAGCTGGGATTACAGGTATGAGCCATCGTGCTTGGCTTCGGTTTTCTGTCACTGTTGTGTTGACTTCTACAGTTTAATACAGACTTTCTGAATGTGGCAGGGAACCCATTTACTTCCTGGATGCAGCAGGGACCCCATTTACTTCCTGGAGGCAGCAGGGAAACCATTTACTTCCTGGATCAAATAAGCACCAAGACAGTCCCTAATCTTGGTACCAATACATAAATACTGAGAAACTGAAATTTAAGATTTAATGTTGTTTCTTGGTTGGTTGGTTGGTTGGTTGGTTGGTTTGGGGTTGGGGGTCTGTGAGGTGCTGGGAAGTGTCCCTGAGCTGTGAGCATGCTAGGCGAGCACGCTAACACTGAGCTATCCTGGCCCATCCCTTCTTCTAAGGTCTCTGTGTCTCTGTGTCTCGGGCAGGCCCCAGACTCACTATGCACCTCCGTGTCGTTGGTACAGACCTAGCATGAACGTGACACTCAGCTCTTCCCCCTTCAACAGGCACAGTCAGTGGTTGGGCTTTAACATGGTTTATGGCCCAGTCTTCAAAATTATGTGTGACTTCTCTATGTTCCATTTTTTTCCTGGTTAAAGTTCTTTCTTTGTTTGTTCATTTTGAGACAGGTTCTAAGGATGATTTTGCACATCTGATCCTGACACCACCACCACCACCACCACCACCACCACCACCACCGACACCACCACCACCGACACCACCACCGACACCACCACCAACACCACCCCCCCTATTTTTTGTGGTGTTGGGAATCAAATCCAGGGTTTTGTACATGGTGGGTAAACATTCTTATCAACTGAGCTACATTCCCAGCCCTTTGCTTGTAAAAAATTTGAATGAAGCAAATTTTCATGTTTTTATGAACCATACCGAGCACTGCTAACTTCCTCTGAAGTGTCATTTGTCACTGACTTTATTTCTGCAGGACAATGGGAGACCTTGCAGAAACTCTCATGTTGTGTTTCCCAAATCTCCCAATGCCTACTGTGACCATCACTGCTATTGGACTGAAACTCTATTAGCTGCACACACCTATGTGCCCTGGGTCTTGTTTACTACGCATACAAACTCTAGTTGCCTTCAATACCTTCCCAAGAAGATGCCGATAATGACCTAGAGTGAAAGGGTAAAGCAGTTTCTTGAGATTTTGATATTGTCCTGTCAGCCTGCCCAGAGTCTAACCTCCTGCCAAATGCAGCTGGGTCAGGCTTTGCACAGATGTCTTTTGATGCTCAGGGCAACTCTGGCTCTCTCCACTGGGAATGTTTCTACATGGGATTCAAGCCCAAATGTTTAACTATAAAGACATAGAAGCTGAGCAAAATTTCTTAATTGATCTTTATTTTTTTATTTATGTCAGTTTCTCCCGCCTCGGGCTTTAAAGTGCTGGGTTATCAGGGTTTGAGTGTGATCAACCACACCCGCAGCTTACTGCAATTGGTCTTTACCTTGATTTTTATTTTTGAGACCAGAGTTCACCGTGTAGCCCTGGCTGGCCGGTCAATGTAGGCCAGGCTGGCTTCAAGCTCAGAGAGATCTACCTACCTTTGCCTCCGGAGCGCTGGGGTTAAAGGCATACCCCGTCTCACCTAGCCCTTTGGTTTATCTAAGAAAAACTGTATTTGGTAAATATGTCTGATAAGATAGCTCAGTGGTCAAAGTGTTTTTGCTTTGGGCTGGTCGGTGGCTCCATGGTAAAGGTGCCTGCTGCTCAAGCCTGACAACTTAAGTTCCATCTCCAGAATCCACATAAGGTGGAAAGAAAAAAACTGACTCCACAATGCTGTCCTTTGACCTCCATATATGCATGTATACACACACACACACACACACACACACACACACACTCATACATAGGAACACAGATACTCATACATACACACACACACACACACACACAGGCTTACACATACACACGCGCGTGCACACACACACACAGGCTCACACACACACACACACACACACATGCACACGCTCGTGCACACGCACACATATGAACACAGATACACATATGCACACACATCCACACACATGCATATACACACATACACTCACATACAATACACTCACTCACACACTAATCATTTTAAAATACTTTGCTATAGTAATATACTCAATAGAATATCATAATATACTCACAGGAAGGCTTAAGAACTCATTAAAGTAATCCACAAGGAAGCCATCTGTTGCCAAATAATTTTCCTGCAAAAAACATAAAAACGTATTAAGGCAATGTTTTGGAGCATGCATGTATTAGGATGACTTAGGTATTTGAGACTTTCTAAGCCAGTTACACGTCGAGCCCTCACTATAAACCTTGCACAGTCTCTGGAAGGGACAGGAAAATGGGCTACAACGTGAGCTGAGCACTCAGGAGGCCCAGAATTGAGAGCTCAAAGCCAGTCTCACCTATGTAGTAAGTTCCAAGTAAACTGGACAACTCAGCCTCGCCTCAGCCACCACCATCCTCAACAAAAAGAAAACAGGATGGACTGTTCTCTCAGAAGCCCTTGCTACCGGAGCTAGCTAGCAAATGGGGCATGAAGAATGTTGCACTACGTGTGAATTCAGTACCAATAGATGCAAACTCTCGGACTTTTAAAATGTACACTTCATAAAAACAGAGGCAGAAGGTCACGAGGTGGCCGAACGGGTAAATACTCTTGCCACGAAAACCTGATAACCTGAATTCAATCCCCATAGCCCCTGCAGGGATAGAAGGAGAACAGACTCCATAGTTGTCCACTGACTTCCACGTGTGCACCTTGGCACACAACAACAACAACAACAACAACAATAATAATAATACAAATTTAAAATATGTGAAAATGAAGGCAGAGTCATTAAAGACAGTAGCAAGCCTTAGGGGTTAGAAAAGAATTAAGGATGTGAAATTCTTTGCTGATCAATTAAAATGACAAGCTAAGCATAATATTCAATTTCTTCTCTGTAAGCCTGAGATTCACTTTTTAGGATCTGGGTCCTACTTGGTTTTGAACATAGATACTTTCACCAGTGCGTGTATTCTGTGCACGGATTGCATACTTTTTTTTTTCTAAAACTGTCTTATCCACCATCACACTTGCCACTTTTGAAACTGGCAAAATGAGTAACCGCCAACAACTGCTCTCCCAATCATAAAACACCTTATTTTATTAGCCATCATTTCCATTGTGTCAGGAGCACATCGCGGCACACTCTGCTGAACGGTACATGTGGTGACTCTGTTACTCATAATTATATTCCAGCTTTGCAAATCTAACACGAAAGCTGAAACATGACACAATGCTATTGTTTCCATATTGCTGACAAACTTCTTTTTAATGAAGTATTGGCTAATTTTTAAAAATTAGAGAACTAGTGGCTGGAGAGACAGCTCAGTTGGTAAAGGGCTTGCTGTGTGTATTGGCTGTTTGTGTGTCAACTTGACAAAAGCTAGAGTTATCAGAGGAAGGAGCCTCAGCTGAGGAAATGCCCCCATGAGATCCATTTTCTCATTTAGTGATCACTGGGGGAGGGCCCAGCCCATGGTGGGTGATGCCATCCTTGGGCTGCCGGTCCTGGGTTCTATAAAATGGTGGGTTGAGCAAGCCATGGGACAA